TTTTTTTTTTGCACAAAACTCGTTTGTTTATTTAAACAGTTTGTATATTACTTTACATACATTACTTTACATTACAATGTATTACTGCTTGCCAATATTATGCCATGTGCAACTGCTGTAGTATTTTGTGTTATTGTGTTATCTTGTTGTTGTGTTTATTACTGTTAATTTGGTTTCTCTTGTGTACAGTGTTTTATTTATATTATATTATATTATTTTGTCATACTTTACTGTCTTTATACTGTTTTTTTTTTCTCTAATCCACTTGCTGCTGTTAATATTGGAATTTCCCCATTTGTGGGACTATTAAAGAAATATCTTATTCTTATCTTATCTTATATTACTTGGAGTTTGATACTCTGCGTCGCTTGGTGGGTTTCTGTAAAATGGAGCTGATTTAATTGTGAGAATCTACTTGGTCTGACGCAGTGGTTCTCAGTTATTTGGAGGGAGACAAACATTTTTTTCACGCCCCCCCTGAAATTGAAATTACTATTGAGAACCCTGTCATATTTTATTATTCTAATCTGTAGAAACCCACTGTATGGGGAGTTGCTGGCACCAGCATTCTGCACACAATCACCTGTTTAATCAAAATAGATTTAATAAAAATGAGCTGAGATAAACATCTGCCAGCAAACTTAAACAATTAATAAAACAAAAGTTTCAGTTTATTAACTCAATTTGGTAACATTTAAACAGGACTGCTCAAGTCTGTGTTGATTTTAAAAAACAGAGAAAAAAGTGCAAATGATCACTTGGGATGTGCATTTTTATAGGACTTGAACACACAAAAACTTTTAATCTGTAAATATTGGTCAACCTTGTCAGCCTTTAATCCCGCTTTATTCCTTCTCAAAAAAAAGTTATATGACTTTTATACATTTCTTGTTTTTTTGCTGCAAAATTTGAAACAATATTGCTATTATCTTAACGTTTTGCGTCTGTTAGGATTTTCTGTTGGGTTGTTCTCGGACGTCGTATGAAATTAATTCAAAATATATACGTCTCCGATCGTGTCAATGGAAAGAGGGACAGTATTCAGTGTCTCAGTATTTTCTTTAAACGTGTGTCTAAGCATTTAAGAATATGAGCTTCCGGTGATTTTTATTTGATTTCTATTGAATCCAAAACGTTAGCCTTCCACCAGGCCCTGTTAATGGGAGGACCCTGTTTTGATTGAATTTTTACAGCACACAAAATTCACAATATTTATGTAAAAATTGATCCGCTTTGCCAGACTTTATCCTCACTCTTTAAGTTAAAAATGCACTGTTTAAGGAAGAAAAATTGAGGCCCTTCAAAATCAGTTCACACTGACTATCATTAAATACTCTTTGATGGTGCAACCAGCCAATGTACAGTAAAAACGGCTGCTGCTCTGGTCTGAAAATAGTAAAAAAAAAACAGAAACAATAATAGCCTGGTTTTGTCCAACCAAAAAGTTCCAAACTCAAAAACATATTTGGTTTGCAATGATATAAAACAGGAAAGGGCAACAACTGGACGACTTGCTTGAGAAACTGTTTTAACTAATCAATTTTCTTGGGACTAAAAAACAAAAACATTTCTAATTTCTACAAATTGTTTTTAAATCTAATTTAATGTGTTATCCCAACGTATTGACATACTTTAAACGATAATAATTTATTATTTTTTAAATTTACTTTTACTTCACTTGCACTGTTACTTGTTTGCAATGTTTACTGTACTACTGTTATTATATATTATACATACATAAATATCGATCGATCGATCTAATAAAAAAAAATCACCCTTTTATTCTGAAAGCCAGCCGCAGAAACCGGAACTCTTATTGTTGGAACGCATCGCTCACTGCGCTGCCGCTAGAAGCCTTCCGCCGACATGCGCACGCAGGGCAGTGCACGCTGGCGACGTAGTGCTGCAACTGGCCTCATTGTGGCTCCGAGCATGCGGCGCGGAGCCTGTGTGCACACGGTCCGGGCGGAGCCAAAATGTCTACCCAGCACGTATTTTGCATGAGGTAAACTCCTGGGAACCTGCGCTAAAATGGTTCACTACTACAGCTACAGTGTCATTTACATATTTACACACGATGAAACGGATGTGGTGACACGTTTTTTAACCCGCTGGCTGTATTTATCGATATAATTAAAATGTTAGGGGGCAGTGTCATACAGATGAACTACACTCAGCGCGGAGTGATACGACTACAAAGACTGGGCTCAAGATTGTGAGCACAGAGCACATTTGTAGCTCTTCCATGTGTAACTAGACCTGCTGTAACTACAGATTGTATAAGTTTGTATGTATTTGATGTGTTGAAATAGATTTTTAAAACTCTAATGAGAATGAATGTCACTGGGTGTTATAGTCCGTATAGCATTAAATGCTCATTTGTTTTCCATTTGTAGGTGTTAAGTCCCAGTGGCCAGCAGGTAGGTGAAGGTGTACTGTGTTTAATGTACACAGTGGGCAGATCATAGCAACTGACAACTGGTACACACGTCCAAAGCGAGACTTAAGAAGACAACTTTATACAAAATAGACCTCTTAATAACCTCAGCACATCTCAAAAGCCATGACACAAACTTTGCAGCAACTACTTTTCTTTATTATAGCAAACAGGTCGCTGTAATACACAATTTATTCTTCCCAAACTCATAAACACAACACACTTTTCATTAAGAAACACATTGAAATTGACAGATTATGCCAAAGATAATTGCAAATCTGAACGTTAATTCAAGTCAGAATAACATGAGCTGTAATTTCCATTTAAACTCATCAGTGCACATTCGTCAGACAAACTTGAAACAGTAAATAAAAAGTAAACTATCCTAAATGAACATCAGTATTAATCTAGACAGCTGTCATCTATCATTTACGATCACTTCTATGGAGCGCAGTTGGGATTGGCAGAAAGGGATGAATTTACTCATTTCACAGCATATACAGCAGTCTTTTTAGGCTTTTAGGCTTGCAGCGTGGCATTTGTCACTGGTTGTTATGCATTAGGCCTATTATAGTACAATAGGCCCTCTGTATACTAATAGGCTATACATCTCTTCAGCATCACATAAGTCAGCCTAACAGTTAAGGGCTTAAGAATGTTTTCGTCCTTCATAATTACTCTCACTGGACAGTCGTCAGATGAAGCAACAGAAGCCAAAGTTGTGAAAACAGTCAAGCAGATGGGCTTAGCACTGTTTAACAATTAAATAAAGATCTGATAGAAAATCTTTAAACAATGTGCCTGTCCTGTAATCTTCGCTTTTTTTCCTTCATCTACACTAAATTTTATTTTATTAGAATAGCACTTAGCAGTAGTACGAGTATTAAATATTAGTAGTTTATTGTAGTGACATTCTGAGATCTAAGGATTGAAATAAGTTTCCTTGTACAGACTTTATGGGGCTGTTTGCAGCATTTAAATAATATGTCCACACCATTTTAATTATTTTTTTAAATACTTTTTAGTGCAATTATTTCAAACAAATAAACATTTTATTTTTCATTATATATCTTTTAACAGCATTTAAACAGCATGTGGCTAAACTCCCTCCCTCATCTTCTTTCTACTGTTTTCTCCTCCTACAATCACAAAAAAACTAAAATATACACGACAATAAACTCTTTTGCTCTCAAATTATAATTATCATAAATGTAATATCAAAACACCATAAGGTCATATAGGCCTGTTGAATTTAAAGTTAAATAGTTGATAGTGTCTTTACCCCAGTGTTGTTCCTAATTGCTCAGAGACTGGAAACATGAATGGAAAAATGAACTTAATAATAATAATAATAATAATAATAATAACAATAATAATAATAAACTTTATTTATATAGCACCTTTTAAACCTGGGTTTACAAACTGCTCTACAGGATGAAAACAACAAAAACAACAGGAGAGAAAACCAACCACCATCAGTAACAATATATAGAAAAGGCACTGAACTACAGCAATAAATACAAAAAACATAATTACTTCTTTTTTTATGACGTTCAGAATTGTTTTAAAACTGTAACAACTCTGAAGTTCAGAGTTAAAATCTAATCTCATGTGACAAAAAGTTCTTGTTCCTATAGACTTACCATAGCAGGAAACACAGGTAATGTAACAATGGCTCTGTTCCATGTAGGTGTGTCACATCATACATGGATCCGGGAACAGACGCACATAAATGGAATGTAGCCTTAATTAGTGATCGTAATTACATTTAGGATTTTTCCTGCTGTGACACGTCAAAATATCTGCTGTAAAAAACAGTAATCATCAGCTGTGTTGTGATTCTGACAGTGATGAACTAAAACGTATAATAATGTGGATTCAATTCCAAAAAAACAACTGCATCTGCAACAGGAACTGTATTTGGTTCTATGTTGGGTCGCATGAAAAATATAACAGTAATTAAAAGATGTCTGTGTTTGATAGTGAATCAGGAGATGAAGAAATGCAATACTATTCATCTGTTGTCCTCTTTATGTAAACATGCAACAATCCCAGTGGGGATTTAATGACATCTTGACTGTGCTAAGTGGTCAAATACATTAACACTTAAATTTAGACAAGGTACTTAAAAATCTATCGACCTGGGCTGTACTCCGACTTTAATGCCAACACAGCTATTGTACATGCTAATATCAGCCTCCTATGTGTAGAATTTCTGTGTAAATTTATGTCAATATTTCAAATGATTTTGATGGCCCAGGTTTTTGTTCTTAGAATAATTGGAGACAGTGAAATTTGTGCAGAATCTACAGTATGTTATGTTATGTTCAGCCCATGTGTCCTTGTGTCTGCTACAGTGTCTTTTTGTCAGTTTCAAGCGTTTATTAGACAGTAGAGAGATGCAACTGAGGCAGTGTAGTGGTACCTGGAGAAGTGTCTCTACTCTTATAAACACCCTACTCTTGCATACTTAGCTCACCCAAAAATGGTCTAGTTCTACTTCTGTACACTCTTTTGCACTACATTGCCCTATGCTGTTGTGTCAATTTTGAATTTCTTCTAAGGAGGATCAATGAAGGAACATCTTATCTTACATCTTATCTTATTATTATTAGAAGTATTTACACATTGTCACTCTAGACTTCTCTGCTGGGCTTCAGGGGAGTACTGGATCATTATGAAAATTAACTTAGGGCACTTCAGATTTAAGCAGATTTTTTTAATACTTTCCACAGACCGGGTGAGACATACCACATAAAATTATACATTTTGAGTGAATTATTCCTTACTCCATCCTGAGCCTGATCCACACTATGCAGATGTGGAAGATATCATTTGCTCTTTTATAATAATGTCAGGTGAGTCAGAGATGTACTGACCGGCCCTCAGAGGTAACAACATGGTCGTTCCTTTGGGGCCACCTCCTGGACAGACTTCACATTTTTTTGCCTCAATACTTCCAAAAATGTGGTTTTGTGGTGTACTACAACCTCACTGCTTGCTCGGTGGACATAGTGTTATTAACATTTTGTGTCTTCCAGGAAACAACATCCATTTCTGCTGCTATTAAAACAAAAATACCACATGTCCGGTGCCCATTCTGTCACACAGATCAATAAAACGTCCATTAGACCCAAAACACTACGCCTGCGTCGCCTTTAGCCTTTGCTTTGTTCCAGTCTGTCTCATAAAAGAAAACACTTTCCCATAGGCCCACGTGATCTTCTGTCAAATAACGTACTGTACAGTTTCACGCACACGTGCACGCAGCCACGCACAGACACGCACTCCACGGAGTCGTTGTTAAGGGGGAAAGCCCTGTAATCAATGCCTCCACATGATGGCAGTATGAGTCTGAGTGTGCGTATGTGTGTGTACGTTCCCGCGTGTGCGGTAACCTGCGTGGGAGTTCCTTCTTTCGCCAATTCCGGGGCTGTTGCCCAGCGCACATCCACCCGCTTGCAGAGGCTCCTGGGAGGTAGAGCCTGCGGCGTCTCTTCCCTCTCTCCAAGGCGTCTCTTCCTGCCCTAAATAACCTCCAGGGTCTACCCCAACCCCCACACACACACCCTCCCTACCCTCACCACCACCGGCGCTACACAGCACCCTCCACAGCCCCGTCTAAAAAAAGAAAAACAAACAAACAACTAAATTGCCGGGATCCAAGCATGCCCACAAACAGCAGCTGAGTATCCGCCTATCCCCTCCCCCAAAGTCACCGCAGGCGCAGAGCCGGCTCCCC